TATTCATTTTAAAATTTTCTTTAGGTTCGTTACTAGGCTCTGATACCAATTATAGGGTCAAAAAGCGGAGAATAATTAAAATATAGAGATAAGGGTATAATAGACAATACTCACACAAAATGACAAAAAAGTGTGAAACTTGATGTGAAACTTAATGACAAAGTAGTATAATCCAATTCAATCCTAAGTGGTCTTGGTCTTCCGTGTGATACTCATTTAGCAGGGACCACGTGAAAAGTGGGGTTTTATGGTACAGTATCATTCCTGTTCTACTTTGCGTTTTTTCCTCAAACTATTTTGAAATATTGTGAGACACGAAAGGTCATATACAAATTTTCTCTCCTCACTTATCTAATTTCACAATCGAAGTTGACGTCCACTCTTATCCGAAGGCTTCCTTTTTTAAAATTGACTTTTTTTCTAACTTATTTTTAATCATACATTTTATCGAATTCATTATTTTTATTAAATTTTTAACCATATATTTCATCAATTTTTATTAAAATTTAATAAAAAAACTAACATTTAGCTAAGTCAAACAGAGGTCTAATATTGTAACGTCGAGAAAATTTTAGAATAAAATTTATTTGTTCTATATGCTATATTTTAATATTTTGAAAAGATGAAGGATTAAAGCGAAATATGTTTGAATTTATTTTTTTATTATTTTGACCAAATAATTAGATATTAATAGAGTGACATTTGGTATATCAATAGGAGGCTTGTTGGATAGATCATATTAAGTCATGTATTTTAGGCTCGAGAAAAAATTATTTTAGATAAGTTCGAGTTGATCAAAGAAAAATCACGATTAAATATATTTTAAGGGATAACTTCCAACTTGTTTAATATGACCGAAATTTTTATATTATTGGAATTAGGATATAGTTCGACCTAGGTTAGGTGAGTATTGAGTAATTGACAGGTATTTAAATAATTGGGTTTTCTCAATACAATTTGAACTAGTGTGGTACTAATCTATTTAATTAATTAGGTTCCTCAATTACAATTTGACAAATGTAAAATAGGATTCCTTTTTCAAAATATCTATTGTATCTATTAAAGTTGTGTTGGAAGTAGGAGTGTCATTTGGCTTGTCGGTTCGAGTGGTCGGTGGCTCGGCCCGGAAAAAATCTGAGTCGGCATACCTCGTGGCTCGAAAGAACCGAGTCGAAGCTAGGGTCGATCCCCATTTTGGGACGTCGACTCGAGCTTGCCCGTGTGGCTCGGGCAGGCTAGACGAATCATACGAGCCGCGGGGCCATTTTCGACCCGTAACGAGCCTAGCATTAAAAAAAAGAATCAAATGAAAAAGTACGAGAAAATTTAATTAGTGAGATATTAAATATGGCATATTTCAAATCTAAGAAATAAGGTATACTTTTTCAAAAATTAGATATTAATTTAAATTTTATATTTTATTAAATAAATATATTAGGGACACTGTTATATAATTTATGGTCACGGTTTTATATTAATCACAATTACAGACGTCACAATAACAAAAAATAAATTTTATAGGTCACAACTTATTTATCGTTCACAAATTAAATAAATTAATTGGTCATATATTATTTTTATTATAAATTTTATGAGTCATAATTTATTTTTATGTCACAAAATATCAAATTAATTGGTCAACCACCTCCAACGTCTCCTCAAATCCATTATGTCATCCACCTCTACCGCCACCTGCACCTACACCTACACCTACACCTACACGTCAGTGCACCACAACCGTCACTGCCAACAAAAAATAGTGATTGCGAACCATCAATTACCACAAATCATTGGAGAAACACCACAAAATGGCAAAACACCACAATCGGAGACATGATACAGATTGCCGAGAGGCGGAGGCTCCGATGCCATGCCTTAACACCGCGCGCATAGGTGCGGCCCTATGAGGTTGGATTGATACAGATCGTCGCAGCTATTGTGCCTACGCGCGTAAAGGCACCGTTGACTAGAACAAATCACCGCAACTGCTGCACCTCTGCGTACAGAGGTTTCGATACTGCGACTACCGTGTTGCTTTGTGCGGCAGCACAACACAGCGGTGGTGAAAGGGAGGAGATCGTCACACACAAAGGCTGTGTGACACTCGTCGTTGATGAGCGCTGTTTTATTATAATTCAAATACTAAAATTCAATTATTTTCCAATTTGGTGGTATTTTATATCACAATTGTACCGTGACTCGATTACTTTTTTTACTATATATATTGTGCAAATGTCCCATAATTCTCCACCAAAAAATTTATATACATACACGGCAGATTTCACATTAAACAACTGAAAGGAAAATATTGGAACTTGCAATCATATTTTTGTTTCTAAAAATTGTTTGATCTATCATGATAAGATATTTTCGTGCAAGTAGTTCGTTTTCGTATATTTTTATATTTAATAATTTATGTATGAATTACCAGTGGACGTTCGAGTTCAACCTAACGAAATATGAATTCTATTGGGTTCTTTATAACAAAATGTGAAATCATTCGGGAATTCAAAATACTATTGATGAGTGTTTTCCTTGGTTATCGATATACTTCATAAGAAATGTTGTATGAATTGTCTTTTTTTATTTTTATATAATTGTGTATGAAAACTGCACGTATCTTAATAGATATTTTAAATACTCACTCCCACAATAATTTTACATGTTAGTTCATGTCGATTGGAATTGTGGTAGATGGTGATGTGGACGGGCAGGGGTATTTGAAGAAATAAAAACATTAAGTTTTTCTATCTTTTAGAATTAGTTATTTAGTTTAATTACGTTTAAGGACATATTTATTTGATAGATAGTCGATTTTGTTTAATTCGAAAGATATAATTTTCATTTTTTGGATTAAATTATGGAGGGTTAAATTCACGAATAGCCACCCAACTTTACAATTGGTGTCATCATGGTCACCCAATTTGATTTTGTTTCACCATGGGCACCCAATTTTATACTTAATGTCACATTGGCCACCCAATTTGATTTTATTTCATCATGGTCACTCAATTTCATATAACGTTTCACTATGGCCACCTAACTTCTTTTCATAATTTTCATTAATTTTAAAGGGGTAAAACGGTAACTTTGCATTATATATATAATATTAATTTTAAAAAATTAAAATAAAAGCTTATTTTAAAAAATAAATGAAATAAAAAGTTATTTAAAAATAAAGTTACTTAAAAAAATAAAATAAAAAATTATTTTTAAAAAAATGTTACTTAAAAATATAAAATAAAATAAAAACTTATTTAAAAATCATTTTTAAAATAAAACAAAAACTTATTTTTAAAAAAAGTTACTTAGAAATATAAAATAAAATAAAAACATTTTTTTTAAAAATGTTTTTAAAATAAAATAAAACTTATTTTAAAATAAACTTTTTAAAATAAAATAAAACTTATTTTAAAATAAACTTTTTAAAATTAAAAAAAAAAATTTAAATTTATTTTATATGTATAATTCAAAGTTACTATTTTACCCCTTTTAAAATTAGTTAAAATGGTGAAAAGAAATTGGGTGACCATAGTGAAATGTTATATGAAATTGAGTGGGCACTATAAAATGTTATATGAAATTGGGTGGTCACGATGAAATAAAATTAAATTGGGTGGTTATGATGACACTAAATATAAAGTTGGGTGACCATAGTGAAACAAAATCAAATTGAGTGGACACAAAATCAAATTGGGTGGACACTAATTATAAAGTTGGGTAGTCATTGGTGAATTTAACCCAATTATGGATACTATTTATTTTTTTACAAAGAAATAAAGTGCCTGTTTGTCAACCATTATTGAGAAAGAAATGGTGTAATTAATAGTATTTTTTGGAAAATGTG